CATTGAGACTATAGTAACAGCTTTTTACAAAGCCCACTGAGCTCAATAGCAGTTTTTCAGAAGCGACCTGGCCGTATGACGGCTCTGCGAAGTAGCTTATGGAAATCTGTAGCAGCTATATACAAAAAACCACAGGTGTGTGTTTTACTGGTAGGAACGAAGTGAACCAGCCTACAATAGATTATATCGTCCGTCCGTCTGATGTCCGATTAGGTGTAGCAACATCGCCCCCTACTGCAAACACTTGGCAGGACCCTACAAAAACCTTTAGACTCAGTGAGGCTTTCCTGGCTAAACAAGTGTAACATTCCCTTATAATTCCCTGAGATAGTTTTTAATTAAAACATTTAAATTAAAAATTAACTCACAGCGGCCTAAAGCCTACAGCTAGGCCTAAAGCCTAGAACTAGGCCTCAAACTCTTCCTTCATATGGTACCCCCGCCATTTCATTTTATTATAGCCATTCATTTGTTCGTTCCTACCAGCCCACCCTGCAGGCACCTGTTAAATGTGGAGGTAAAAACCGGAGGACCTGGAGAAAATTTCACGCGACCACGGGGAGAGCGTGCAAACTCCAAATATACCGACGTTAGGGTCTATATATTTGCATACCAGGTGAGGTCCTTTGAGATTCGGGTCCTTTATTTCCTGCACTGCGTTGGGAGCCAGCGGTCAGACTGCCTCCTGTCGAGAATCCTCAAGGGAGGAGCGCATTTCTGAAAAGCGTGGCATGAACTTTGCGAGGTGGTTCGCGAACCCGATTAATCGCTTTCCACTGCTTTCACATCATTGGGCTGTGGCGTCTCCACATTCCTTTGAACAAACGACGTCGTAGGGAAACGCTTTTGGCGTAGACGGCCATGTGCGTGAGAGGCACACTCTGGAAACAAGTATAACCCGTAAAAACAAAGTTTTTCACTATAAATCCTTTATATGCGTGGCGGCTAGAGTACTCTCGTCCTCTGGCTTGAGATGGCTGCCACCTATGGGTCAGATGATTGCATTGCACCATTAAGCAATTGGTAATTAAATATAATATTTTTGTCCTAAAAAGTGTAAAATTTTGGAAAAAATTTTTCACGAACATAAATTGTCACGCACAACGAGTCTGTGTGGAAAATGTCAGCTCGATTAGATCACGGGAAGTGGGTTAAAAAACGACCGAAAGATTTGCACGGTCCTAAGCAAGCAAGCGAACTTAATATAAAGGATTTAAAAAGTGATGTGGGCCGATTGCACAACCTACACACACACGTGTCCCCGTATGCAGGATGCTGCTCTTTGGAGCCGTCCATAAATGACGTCACACGATTTTGGACGATTTTTGACCCCCCCCCCCACCTCGTCACACGGCGTCACAAAAAGTCAGACCCCCCCCCCTCAAATATGACGTCACAAAGCTCTGCCCCCCTCCCCCAAATAAAACATGCTTCAAATCGCTTTAAACTATTGTCATTGTAGTGCGTATTTAATGTGCCGCTGCACTCTGATGATGTAGGATAAAACATTTATTAAAAAGTCTTCAATTAAGTAGAACTTGTCTATATTCATCTAAAGTTGCGCATTTTGATGTGACGTCACATTTCTCCCCCCCCCCACCTCGTCACACATCGTCACAAATGTCTGACCACCCCTCCCCCCAGGTGCGTGACGTCATTTATGGACGGCCCCTTTGCTGACCTGTGCTCATCGCAACAGCAATTGCACGCTGTAGGCCTGGCAGGAGAATCGCTGCTTTGCTCGCATCGTTCGCTGTTCGCCACGCCAGTCCGCTGCGTCGATTGCTCTCGATCTGTCGCGTCTTGCGGCGTGCTCTGCTGTGCTGCACTCATCGTGAGCGCTGTCTTCCACCACGGGCCACGCTCTTATTTGTTACAACAAAGGCTCAGCCTTTTGTTATGCATATTCTTAGGTTTTTTTCGGTAAAGTCACGTAGGTAAAATATTAAAATTGATACAGCTGTCGTGGCTGTGACGGTTCCACCTGAAGACGGAGGCTTGTGTTGCCTCCGAAACGTCGTGATTTTTATTTTATTAAACTTTTATTAATTTTAATGTTTTACCTACGTGACTTTATCGAAAAACCTAAGAATATGAATCATTGCAGTCACGAAAGCTTCAAATCTAGAATTTTGTTATGCAGTTTATTCTTCGTCTTAAGCCTCATCTTACCATATTAATAAAAAGTGTGCCGTACTTGGCCCTTCCCCTCTTCAACCGTTATCAATACGGAGTGGTAGCTCTTGTAATCTCTCATTTACTTGATACAGCTGTCGTGGCTGTGACGGTTCCACCTGAAGACGGAAGCTTGTGTTGCCTCCGAAACGTCGTGATTTTTATTTTATTTACTTTTATTAATTTAAAATTTTTACCTACGTGACTTTACCGAAAAAACCTAAGAATATGAAAACGAGAACGAACTTGTCAAGAGCAATCTCCGCTTTCAGTGAGCGATGCTCGCACCGTTACTGCTTCTCGGTCGCGCGATGAAGCCGTCAATTGATTCGCCTTCCTCCTCCTGCTGCTCGCAGCATCCAAACACGAATCTTTCACAAATCACATTTTTTTTGCAGGCCTGAAGTACGCTTCCTAGGCATCCTCCATGGCTATCGCGCCTTCCTTATTGCTCCTCCTGTGACGTTTAGATTCTATCTGTACACGTGGTTGCACTCGCTGCCCATCACTCGCATCGGTGGCTGCTTGCACCTCTGAGGGATTCTCAATGTGGGGCTGCTGCTGCTATGGGGTAGTCTTCAAAATTGGCCCCGAAGGTTCCTCCCCCCAAAATTTCAGCTCCAATCGCCACTCATCTTCATGCCTTCAGGAGCTTGGATTACCATTGGCAGCCACCGTGATTGCTGAATAGTGCTTCTAACCGCAAGCCTTCGGGCTATCTCTGCAATCCCCTCGTGTGAGCTCACAGTTCTGCAGCCCGCTGTTTGCTCGTCTCAGATCTTCGTTGTGAATGGCTCACAGGGATATACCAAATAAATGAAACTGAAACTCAAAACTGAACATTATTTTGGGCCTGTCTACTTGTGAGACCGTGTTCGAGATTTCAAACAATAGCGACGTCAAAGTCGCGTCTGAGATCAGCAGCCGTGTTCGGAGATCACGACCGAATGCAGTAACAAAGACATCATGCTGTCATTGCAATCACCGCCGCATGTTACTTCACGAAGAGTTGTTAGAACCTCGCCGCCGTGGTGCCCCGAACATTCATTGCCCCATCTCCGTGGAAGGCGCCCTGACCTCTGTGAACCCCTCGTTCTCAGCTCCACTTTTCACACCTGTAAACCCCTTATTGCAGACCAGTTCAGACCTTATTGATCACCCCGTGCCATTATAAATCTCAACGTTCATCCTACAAAGTCCCATCACAGGGGAGAAACACAAACAGACAACGCATCTGTTTTGCCCGTCTTGAAACGGCTGTATGCCGTATGGACCTCAAAACGCAATTACCCCGTACAAGAATACGGGGTAAACCGTATGGGTTGACAGCTGTGAATTAAAGTTAAAAAAAGATTGTCTTTAATATGGATGCTAACTTCTAACGCTGGGCTGCCACTGTCTCGCAACATTCGCTCGCTCTCGCGGAGAAAAAAGCCACAGGCGATGAGGAAGGTTGCAACCACGTGCTGAGCTGGCTCCAATAATTGCCTAAGCTCTGCAGTCCTCTATACATTGAGGGTTTAACGACCAATTTAAACACATTCCTGCGGAGGGAGCTGGTAGGGACGTTGGGTTGCTCGGTCAATGGCCAGGGTCAACGGCGGCGTGGTGCATTCCGCAAATATGCCCGACTGTGAGGGCGGGCACAAGCCGGCGTGAGTAGGTGAAACGTTGAGTTTTATAAGGGCCTACGGGGTGACCAGCCCCTCCCCACCCAGCCCCACCCCTCCCACCCCCCACCCAGCCCTTCCCCACCCTCCTCTCCCCACCCAGCCCCACCCTCCCCTCCCCACCCAGCCCCTCCCTCCCCACCCAACCCCTCCCTGCACGACGGACACAATAATCCCCTGTGGGCTGGTGTAACCAGTATGAGCGTTTACATGTGGAGGCAAACTGGTGGACGCGTAGGCAACCTACGCATATGAATGGGGGCAACGCTGCCCCACACAGACGGGGCAAGGTGGAGTCCACTTTTTTTACTTGATTGTGCTGCCCTCTCCTGGCGGGCCACTGTATTGCAGTTGCCCAACCCCACGGGGAAGTTTTTGCCAAAGTTGTGTGTGGTCCATCAACCCTCGCCTCCACAGTGCTGGATTACAGGTCACGCGCGTAGTCGCCACCCTTGGGCTCAACTTGCGTTATGTTAATAGTTTTTTTACCCTTTTATCTGGCAACAAAACTGACACCTTTTTTTACAAGGAGTCATGTTTGCATTGACCACAATACCTGCGGTCGGAATGCTAACAAAAAACACGACTCTGATAATGTATGCACTGTCCTTGAAGTTGATTGGTCCACACCCGAGACAGCTTTTCTTAGTCTCACATGGTGTTGGACCAGATGACGCCAAAAGGCGCACAACTCAAAGACAACGCAGCATTAGAGTATGAGAGCTCGGGGTAAGCATTTACCGAAAAAACCAAAAAGTATAATTCTAGGTAGCCATGCACCTCTCAATGATTATTTTCCTACTACTTGAGCCTTTTGAGCAAGTTTTTTTGTCAATGTCCGTGTGGGTGTGGAGGGTGGGGAGGGGCTGGGTGGAGAGGGTGGGGCTAGGTGGGGAGGGGCTGGTCACCCCGTGGTGCCCTTATAAAACGCAACGTTTAACCTACTCACGACGGCTTGTGCCCGCTCTCACAGTCGGGCATATTTGCGGAATACACCACGCCGCCGTTGACCCTGGCCATTGACCGAGCAACCCAACGTTTCTACCAGCTCCCTCCGCAGGAATGTGTTAACTCAATCCCAGGTGAGGGAAACGCTGAGGAGATGCTTTGGACGAACCTCCAGCCCCAATGTCCAGAAGAATAACACAACGTCGCTTGACCGTCAGCCATTTATTAAATATCTCTCCCAATACAAAGTATTGAGGACAGCTCCCAATACAAAGAATCACTCAAGCGTTGACCTGCATGTGCAGTGTTCAAGTATGAAGCCATAACCCTAACTACATGATTACGAACAGATAAAGGCATTCATAAAAACAACTGGCATTTAAAAAAAAAACGATTAAAATGCCTGAAAAATAATTTGAAGAACACGGCTTCTTTGAAACTAATCGATACACCAATGTTCCAGCTTAGTCCATGAATTGAATCGAGAACTTTAAATTTTTCACTACGACTATGAATACAATTCCACGGCTCATCAGGTTGTGAAGGCATCGGTGTCGACAAGCGGTTGGTATTGGATCCTCCTTCCGGAGCGGAGCTGGTAGATTTTCACGGCGGCCACGCAGACGGCGCTGACGGCCAGGGTGGCAGCCAGGGCGTACACCATGCCCGTCCAGCCAGGCAGCCCAGCGCTACCATGCTCCTCCAGGGAGGCTGTGGTGGGGGTGGGGGTGGGAGTATGCAATGCAAAGTGAATTTATGAAACGTGCAAAAAAATGTGATCGCATCCTGAGATGCTGTGGAAAAAAACGGTGCGCTTAAACCATCGAGTGGGAGAGATTCAGTCGGTGGTGGGCCGACGACCTAATGATGTTCATGTGTCTCGACCTGAACAGGCACAAGGAGTCGATAGCACTGATGGCAGGGGTCAAGGGAGATTCAGACCATGGTGGCAGCACAGGAGAATCGGTGACCTCCCACGTAGGGAACGTTGATTGGAGGCTTCAGCAGCCGTGAGAATGGTAGGAATATCAGCAACAGCGGGAGGGCAGTGACAGCAGAATAGCGGTACGAATAGTCGCAAATCTATAGCAGAAGCAGCAATAGGAAACGGATGCATCGGAAGCGGAATTGGACCCACCAGCTGTAGCAAAGCAAGCACAAGGCAGACAAGCCAGTACATTGACGGCCTCATAAGTACAACAATACAAAGTCTCTTTATTTCACGATATATATGAAAAAAACCCTGGTTTTAATGTCATTACTGACAACCGCTTCTCTCGGGGCCTAGATGAGCTCACCTGGAAGCCTTCTCTGTTCCCACACGGGTAACAAAAGCCTTTCGTTTTTAAACATTGCACGTGTCCTAGTTGATGGCAAGATCAGCGGAGGTAAATGGGGGAGGCAAATGGCAGACTTTTTCTCCCGTTTGATTTACCACATCATTTTGTACAGCATTGTCCTAGTAGAGTTCACAGTATTGGGGGCGATGATTGCCACGTGTTTAACCCATCGGGCAATTTTTAGGTGATAAAAAAATAATGGCAAATGTATTTATTTGGCCTCTTACGCCGCCACACTATGGCCTATTCTTTCGAATAACATCCAGACTCTTTGCTTCTTTCGGTAAAGTCATGTACGTTGAAAAAATAATAGATCACGTTTCGATCGCCACACAAGCAACCGTCTTCAGGTGATTGCTTGTGTTGCGATCGAAACGTCATGATTTATTATTTTTTCTACCTACGTGACTTTACCGAAAGAACCAAAGAATATGGATCCCTGCAGTCGCGAAAGCTTCAAATCAAAACATGACCTACACTTTAATACCCACTCTGAAAGCAGACGTTGTGCAGTTTTACAGTTAGTAAACCCGCAGTATTATACTTTTAGTTTTTTCGGTAAAGTCACGTAGGTAAAAAATGAAATAAAAATTAATTAAAAAAATATTATATTTTTATTAATTTTAATTTCACTTTTTTACCTACGTAGGTAGGTAAAAAAGTGAAATTTAAATTTAAATTAATAAAAATAAAATATTTTTTTATTAATTTTAATTTCATTTTTTACCTATAATTTGAATTTCATTTTTTACCTACGTGACTTTACCGAAAAACACTGACAGTATGAATCCTTGCAGTCACGAAAGCTTCAAACCCGCAGTATTAACCAGGGCGGCCACGGGGCTCGAATCGCGAATCACCGCAACAATTGGCAAACACATCGCATCCTGCTCGGAGGACAGCCAGGGTCCACCAGACACGCCTCGTGGGGCCGGTGGAGCTTGCGGCGACAGCGAGACGAGGGCTCTGACCTTCGCGAGTCTTGCGGAGTCTGATGGGTCCCTGCGACAGGTCGACGGAGTGGTCGGCGTGACGTGCGTCCCCGCGCGCCTCCCCCAGGCCACGCGCCGCCCGCGATCCCCGCACGCAGCCTCGACGGCACCGCGAGCCCCAGTCGGAGGTGTTGCACACGCGCACCGCGCACTCCAGGTACACCTGCCAGGGACATCGTCATCGTCGTCGTCGTCGTTATCACTCGAAGTACAGCTGCCAGGGACCACATCATCGTCTTCACCATCATCATCATTGTTTTCATCGTCATCATCATCTTCACCACCATCATGATTGTTTTCATCGTCATCATCATCATCATCTTCACCATCATCATCGTCGTCTGCACCACCATCATCATCATCTTCACCATCATCATCATCATCGTCTTCACCATCATCATCGTCATCATCAATCCAGGCACAGCTGCCAGGGACCACCTAATCATGTCCACCGGTTTTAAGAGTGTCTTGTCTGACCTATGACCAGTATCTTCTTGGTTCTTTCGGTAAAGTCACGTAGAAGGGAAATAATAAAACAAAACATAATAAAATACAATTCTCACGACGTTTCGGCCACAACGCAAGCAGCCGTCCTCAGGTGAAGAACAGGTCTGTCGGAAAGACAGCGTCATTCAGATGCTGTCTTTCTGACAGACCTGTTCTTCACCTGAGGACGGCTGCTTGTGTTGTGGCCGAAACGTCGTGAGAATTGTATTTTATTATGTTTTATTTTTATTATTTTATTATTTCCCTTCTACGTGACTTCACCAAAAGAACCAAGAAGATGAATCCCTGCAGTCACGAAAGCTTTAAATCGAAATCTATGACCAGTATTTTAACTGAAACCCATGTTCTATGTACCCTCACAAATCTCTGTGGTTTCTACTCGAGTGCATAAGTCGTGAATGCCCACTGGTTCATTTATCAATAGACAGATCCGATGAGACTGGGGATTGTTTAAACCACTTGGTTTCAATATCTGAAATATCTTGCATTGCTTTGACAGTGACTAACAGTGCTACACGTCATGATGTCTGCTGGTGTTGTCACAAGGAGCCTTCAGAGACAACGTTGTCTGTCGTTTCATTATATCCGGATTATCGCGAGGTCAGTGGCAACTATTTACCTGCGCCACATCGCAGTGAAGGGAGTAGAATCCATGATATAATTAATTTAAAATGAAAAGGGAACGATAAGGGCGGGAGAGATGATCGTTAATGGGAAACTAGAGGAAAAGGATGGGAAATTAATGGAGAAACGAGAGAAAATCTATCGGGAGAGATGAGGATAGGGAGGGAGTGACTACTTAAGGGGTTCGACGATGATGCATGAAACGGCGTCTGTTTCCACAGGAGGTGGCAGAGAGAGTGGAGGGGGGGGGGGGTGCTATAGTGGTATGTGACCACACAGAAGTCACGTGATTTGGTGGGGGGTGAGAATTGATTTTCGGATTAATTTAAAACGGAGGTTGGCATTGACTTGAAACTCGGCTTGTCCAGAGAGTTTTCATTCGAATTTGGCTTCGGCGGATTGCCGCAAGACATATCAACGTCGGGAGAAACAAACGTAGCGGGATTCCGATGCGATCATATCGCATCTAATTCTACCCCGTTAACTGATACCCGTCGCCAATCCCCGCGTCGCACCTGCGCTCCGACGAAGAACTCCACGCTGTCGAAGCTGAAACGCCGCCGGTCGTTGACGCCGCTGTTGTGCTCGTTGTAGGAGGGGTCAACGCGGCACCTACATTGTCCGACCACACGCACGCGGCGGGTTGACCTCGCAATAGCCCTCGACGCAGGTAGCAAAAAAGAACGAACTCACGTGCCAATAGTACTGCCATGAAAGGAAAGAAATAAATGTCACGTGTAAAATAATGAGTCTGATAGAGATATCTCTCTGCTTCGTAGCAGACTTCTCATCGCTTACAAACAACACCCAAAATAATTGCTGCTGTGTTGCCCGTGGTGCACAAATAACAAGATGATGACATTTGTCGATTTACACCGCTCTAAAAAGAATACACACACATATTGCAACACGTGACCGTCTGGCCAATCGCCGTGCTCCCCTGAATCGCATCGGTGAGTGATGGAAGAGCGGCGTCTGTTTTCACAGTGGGCGCGAGGGGCAGAGGGGGCGGGGTTCAGAGTTGGGGGGCGTGATTACACGGACGTCACGTGACTTACGGGAGAACGGCCACCTCCCAGAACTTTACCCCGTTCATGTTTTTGTTGTCCCTTTTGAGAGCGGTGTATTTGACGAAAGCCGTCGAGGTTTTGTGTTATTTTTGTAGCACTGGCAACTTTTTGTTTTTATTTGTTTTATCAGCTAAGGCTCGCTGAGCTACGTAGCTCTTTTTCAGAAGCGACCTCACTACGAACGATAGCTCAACGAAGTGATTTAAAACGCGGGAATTTATAGCAGCCAAATACTCTCAATTTAGCAGCAGCAGCACAATTATTCTGAGTATTGTTAAGTCACGGGAATACCCCCGCCCATGCTACAGAGGCTAACTGCTGGATGAACAGAAAACAATTCCACGAACTTATTGCAGAATTGCACCGTCAGCTTGACAATTAAGTGGTATTTTATATTTTAAAAACTTGCGGGGAAGGATTGGACCATTGCGATTCTAAATCGCAATCGCTCGCATTGCCCGCAATTCAGCATTCGCTCAACGCGACCAGATCAAGAGAGCCATCTGCACGCACCCGTTCTGGAGCAGGAAAAAGGAGGCGCTGTCCGGCGCTCCCGGGTAGGGCGAGACTTTGCACGTCTCCAGGAAGAGCTGAAGGTCCCGGGCCACCGACGTCAGCGCCACCTGCCAGAGAGACGCGTCGCGTTTCTTCGTCATCGGCGGCGGAAATCGCGACGACGACGACGACTTCCCTTTCTTACCCCCAGTGTTTCGGCACTTTGGCTGATAAGACTTCATGAGTGCGAAGGCCGCCACGCATTTGAAACCATTGGGGAGTTTGACAGCACGATGGGGGGGGTGTTTTCACATGTTGTATATCTGGGAGCAGCACATCAGGGGCCGCACTGAAGGCTATCTCGGGGCACAGCGGTGGCCCACGGGCCTGGCGATGAAGAACACTTCTCTAATTCTAGATTTGAAGCTTTCGTGACTGCAAGGATTCATATTCTTAGGTTTTTTCGGTAAAGTCACGTAGGTAAAAAAGTAAAAGTAATAAAAGTAAAATTAAAAATAAAATTAAAATCACGACGTTTCGGAGGCAACACAAGCTTCCGTCTTCAGGTGGAACCGTCACTTGATACAGCTATCGTGCTGTGACGGTTCAACCTGAAGACGGAAGCTTGTGTTGCCTCCGAAACGTCGTGATTTTTATTTTTATTAATTTTATTTTTTTACCTACGTGACTTTACCGAAAAAACCTAGGAATATGAACACTTCTCTACCCACTGCTGCCACCTCCTCCCCCGGTCACCCCGCTCGTTCTCAACCTCGGCCCTTCTCACCTCGGCGTAGAGAGGCTCTCCCAGCTCGATGTCGTATGGGTAGGAGTAGATGGGCTGGTTGAAGAATTGGTTCGTATAGAAGCGCACCCGGAGATCGAAGAGCCCCATGCTGACTTCGTCCTGTACCCTGTAGCAAGGATGGAAGGCAGTGAGTGGCTGTACTGGGTAGGGGACCACGCGAATAAACCCACCACCTCCTGTATACCAGGCGAGTTAGTTCATATCTTGCTTCATTTTCGGTAGAGGAAGCTCGCTTTCGTGAAGATTCAGTCACGTGTATAGGTTGTTACTGAGGGGGAATACGCTGTGCATTGTGGGTGTAATGGGCGAATGTTGTTATAGAGGTTGTCTCCAGGGCAGCAGAGATTTCACTTCGCCCATACAGTTGCTTTTGCGAGTGACGTTTGTAATATCACGGAGTTGCGTATTTTTGTGAGCTGTGAGTTCAAGGTTCTGTTCATAGTTGCGTTTCAGAGTTCATTGCCTTTGCTTGCAATGTGTTAGATGTCAGTTTAGTATGATAATGAACTTATTAATTGGACAACTTAGGTCTGTTACTGTGGTTATTTTAATTTGCGTTTATGGAACATGTCAACTATTTTATGCAAACACTAACCGGAATCCACCATAACCATAAAATAATGAATAAGAGGTTAGGTGGTCTGAGTCTGTCCGACACTGATGTTTTCGGAGCATTTGTCCCTAAGCAAACACAATTTACTTGCTACCGCTGCCGCGTGAGCAGTCGTGCACAAACACAAACAACAAAGAAAATTCAACACGTGCTATGAAGGAGGGCCATTGCCTGAAACGTCACCAAGGTCAAGTAGACAAATCATTTTGAATCGCAGGCCTATTTGATTTGACGTCCTGTGCCCGCGTTAAAATATCCACTTTGCAATATACAGTAAACCCTTGTTAATTCAAAACATATGGGGCTCTGACCTTGCCGAATTATCCAATATTCCGAATTATGTACCATGGTACTTCCCAGTGCCTCCTGCCGAAATAGAAAATAAATAAATCCAAACTTGTTTTTCAAACTCTTCACACACCGTACTCATTGACACACACCCTGCATCATTTCTATCCAAAACTTTGGATTTGCCTCGCAGACTGTAGGATTTGTACTTCGGTCCCTTTCCGTTACCTCTTCACGTCGGTATGGACGACGTTTCTGAGAGGGTTGGCTTGAACAGGGCGTACAAACAAGGTAAGGTCAAAAGCGACGGGTCTGCACTGACGCTCGCCACGCACGCCGCCACTGGACCGCCGAGTTGTGGTTTCGGTCGTGGCACGCGACATTGGGCTATTCGGCACGGCAATTCGGCTCGTGGCGTATTATTAATACTGAATGTATGCTGAAAGCGCAGCCGTGCCGCCGCAGTATCCCCAATTACGAATGATTAAATAACGAGGTTTTACTGAATATGAATGATTACACGCGCATGTAAAGTGTCCGAAGTGTATATCTATGGGACCCTTTTTTGCGTGTATCAAGATGATGAAAGAATTAAAAGGCTTTGCCCTTCCCGGCAAAGAATATACAGTTGTCAAGATGTTCAAACACCAAATAGAACACCTATTAACAAGGCATCAATTCTGAATCAATTTCGTTCACGCAACAATGGCAAAGCGTGCATTTTCCGAGATCCGGGCGACTGCCCTTGAACCCGGGGGGACTGACCAGCCTCAGCAGCCCTACCTGGGGGTGAAGCTCACCATTGCCCGGCCACTCGAGCCCATGTAGCAGAACATGGGCACCCGGAGCCGCTTGGCGCCGTTTGGAGACACGTAGCCGTAGGCCGTGTTCATGTATATGATGGTGTCGCCGCTGGTCTGCGGGGCAAATCAAAAGGGGACACATCTAAATGATACACAGAAGGTAATAGGTAAGGGTGCAGCCCTGCAATTTCATGCTCACGCTACTGCTGGCGGAACAACCTCTTTCAGAGGGAGCTCTAGACAGCGCTCGTAGAGGGTATTTAGTCGTAGAGGGCATCTTAGCCATAGAGGGCATCTTAGCCATAGAGGACATCTTAGCCATAGAGGACATCTTAGCCATAGAGGGCATCTTAGCCATAGAGGGCATCTTAGCCATAGAGGACATCTTAGTCATAGAGGGCATCTTAGCCATAGAGGGGATCTTAGCCATAGAGGGCATCTTAGCCATAGAGGGGATCTTAGCCATAGAGGGCATCTTAGCCATAGAGGGCATCTTAGCCATAGAGGGCATCTTAACCATAGAGGGCATCTTAACCATAGAGGGCATCTTAGCCATAGAGGGCATCTTAACCATAGAGGGCATCTTAGCCATAGAGGACATCTTAACCATAGAGGGCATCTTAACCATAGAGGGCATCTTAGCCATAGAGGGCATCTTAGCCATAGAGGGCATCTTAGCCATAGAGGACATCTTAACCATAGAGGGCATCTTAACCATAGAGGGCATCTTAGCCATAGAGGGCATCTTAACCATAGAGGGCATCTTAACCATAGAGGGCATCTTAACCATAGAGGGCATCTTAACCATAGAGGGCATCTTAACCATAGAGGGCATCTTAACCATAGAGGGCATCTTAGCCATAGAGGGCATCTTAGCCATAGAGGGCATCTTAACCATAGAGGGCATCTTAACCATAGAGGGCATCTTAACCATAGAGGGCATCTTAACCATAGAGGGCATCTTAACCATAGAGGGCATCTTAGCCATAGAGGGCATCTTAACCATAGAGGGCATCTTAACCATAGAGGGCATCTTAGTCATAGAGGACATCTTAGCCATAGAGGGCATCTTAGCCGTAGAGGACATCTTAGCCATAGAGGGCATCTTAACCATAGAGGGCATCTTAGCCATAGAGGGCATCTTAGTCATAGAGGGCATCTTAACCATAGAGGGCATCTTAGCCATAGAGGACATCTTAGCCATAGAGGGCATCTTAGTCATAGAGGGCATCTTAGCCATAGAGGACATCTTAGCCATAGAGGGCATCTTAGTCATAGAGGGCATCTTAGTCATAGAGGGCATCTTAACCATAGAGGGCATCTTAACCATAGAGGGCATCTTAGCCATAGAGGGCATCTTAGTCATAGAGGGCATCTTAACCATAGAGGGCATCTTAGCCGTAGAGGGCATCTTAGCCATAGAGGGGATCTTAGCCATAGAGGGCATCTTAGCCATAGAGGGGATCTTAGCCATAGAGGGCATCTTAACCATAGAGGGCATCTTAACCATAGAGGGCATCTTAGCCATAGAGGGCATCTTAGCCATAGAGGGCATCTTAGCCATAGAGGACATCTTAGCCATAGAGGGCATCTTAGCCATAGAGGGCATCTTAGCCGTAGAGGGCATCTTAGCCATAGAGGGCATCTTAGCCGTAGAGGGCATCTTAGCCATAGAGGGCATCTTAGCCATAGAGGACATCTTAGCCATAGAGGGCATCTTAGCCGTAGAGGGCATCTTAGCCATAGAGGGCATCTTAGCCATAGAGGGCATCTTAGCCATAGAGGGCATCTTAGCCATAGAGGGCATCTTAGCCATAGAGGGCATCTTAGCCATAGAGGGCATCTTAGCCGTAGAGGGCATCTTAGCCATAGAGGGCATCTTAGCCATAGAGGGCATCTTAGCCATAGAGGGCATCTTAGCCGTAGAGGGCATCTTAGCCATAGAGGGCATCTTAACCATAGAGGGCATCTTAGCCATAGAGGGCATCTTAGCCATAGAGGGCATCTTAGCCATAGAGGACATCTTAGCCATAGAGGGCATCTTAGCCATAGAGGGCATCTTAGCCATAGAGGACATCTTAGCCATAGAGGGCATCTTAACCATAGAGGGCATCTTAGCCATAGAGGGCATCTTAGCCATAGAGGGCATCTTAGCCATAGAGGGCATCTTAGCCATAGAGGGCATCTTAGCCATAGAGGGCATCTTAGCCATAGAGGACATCTTAGCCGTAGAGGGCATCTTAGCCATAGAGGGCATCTTAGCCGTAGAGGGCATCTTAGCCATAGAGGGCATCTTAACCATAGAGGGCATCTTAGCCATAGAGGGCATCTTAGCCATAGAGGGCATCTTAGCCATAGAGGACATCTTAGCCATAGAGGACATCTTAGCCATAGAGGGCATCTTAGCCATAGAGGGCATCTTAGCCGTAGAGGGCATCTTAGCCATAGAGGGCATCTTAGCCATAGAGGGCATCTTAGCCATAGAGGGCATCTTAGCCATAGAGGGCATCTTAGCCATAGAGGGCATCTTAGCCATAGAGGGCATCTTAGCCGTAGAGGGCATCTTAGCCGTAGAGGGGAACTTAGCCTTAGAGGGCATCTTAACCATAGAGGGCATCTTAGCCATAGAGGGCATCTTAGCCGTAGAGGGCATCTTAGCCATAGAGGGGATCTTAGCCATAGAGGGCATCTTCCACGCTGGCCAGACCGTCTGGAACGAGGTGGCAGTACCTCCTGACACTTTACCCCACCACACGCGACCCTACCTATGGTGATCCCATTGAACTGCCAGGTGGACAGAGGCGGGTGGGGTATTAATGAACTTGAGCCGTTGTACTAACTGCCACACCGGGAGATGGAATTAAGTGTGCTGCTAACCATTATACGATGGCAGAATCCTCTTTGTGTGCGCAGGTAGCAAAGTCCTTCAAGCGGTGTGAGAGGGAGGTCAAGAGGGTTAATGCTTCCCCAGGGCGGTCATTTTATGGGCTGTGAAAACCACTTTGGATAAGAAGAGAGTTAAGTCTGAGTGTAAGAACAATGACGTTTGAGGCGGGAATTGCTACAAGTATTACCGTGTGGATCGGATAGCTGGATGCTCGAAAGGAAGTTGCTGGCATATTAGCAGAAGTGTCTGAGACGGCTGCTGGGAATTTTGTGTCGCATTGCTGAAGTTCTGAAGAGACCATGGCAGGCAGGTGTTGTAAATATGATTGGGCTTTGCTGGGTGAGAAGTGTGGAGAATGTGGTGGGGAGGGGGTCATGATTGTCGAGACAGGAATTGGAGTGGGCTCCTGGAGTCCGTTGACCAAGGTCGAAGAGCGAAGAGTAAATAGTGGGAGAATGTTCGGGCAAATCTTCGAACGTGTGCAACAACAGTTATAGGATCAGGCAGAGGGTTCAAGCCATTTGCGAGGTGCGGTGTCAACAACGGCTTTGGCCACAATGACACGTCTTCATCTTGAATTTCGACTTTGAGTGGTTCTAAAGGGCCCTCCTGGCACGGCAGGTTTGGCTTGACACGAGATGTTTGGGCATCTCAGCAGCCATCAGATCCACCTCCACTTTTAAGAGACGGTTGAAGGCTACTCATCTGTTGCGTAAGGCATCTCCTCCATGCCGTATCACAGGCAGGGGAGAGGAAAACCAGCGTTGCTCCCATATGTTTGCTTCCACCATTGGAACCTCATTTGCCAGAAGAAAAAATATGATAATTGTTTCTTTTTTTAACTCTGATAATGTATGCACTGTTCAATCAACTTCAAGGACAGTGCATACATTATCAGAGTTATGTTTTTTGTTTGCATTATGACTGCAGGTATTGTGATCTATGCAAACATGTCTCCTTGTAAAAAAGGTGTCAGTTTTGGTGCCAGATAAAAGGGTAAAAAACAATTATCATGTTTGCTTCCGTTATAAACTGGCCTCGGTGTGACTCGTCAGCACAAGCGACTGATCGCAGCAATTATGGCCAGGTCCAAAGTCGGCCTTCTTTCTTTGGCAAATTTGACCTCGATAATGGGGGCGAGTCGAGCCAGTTAGGGCCCTCTTAACGAGCTCCACTTTTACTCGGGGAATTGCTTACTCGGGAAAAGCGAACTTGAAGGTTGTGACATTTTCCCGCGTGAAATGCGACCCTTTTGTTGAGCAAGGTGACATATCCCTCGCATGGCCTGAGCTTTCGCTCGGGAGGAGTATTTGAACCCCGAGCTCACCTCCGTCCTGGAGCCACAGCCGTTGAGCGGCACGTAGAGCCGCGCGTATTGCCCGTACACCGTGGCGTGGCACGACGGGTCCTGAAGGCGGATGTCGTACACGGACAGCCCGCGCGATGAGATCTCGCTCAGGGGGATCAGCAGCTCCATGTCATGCGAGTTGCAGTGGAATATCCTTGACGTGCTATTGCCTGCAGACACACGCGCAACATTTACTCCTTTAGACCTCACTGCTACTGGTGGGGGTAAAGTGTGGGTATTCCAAGACATCTAGGCGGCACGGAAAAGTGGGTCAAATACTCTCTGAGGGGGGGGGGGGGGCTCGATAGAGCTCGCTAAAGTGGAGGCCCCTCCGCCAGCATTGGCGTGAGCAGGAAGTTGCACTACCTTCTGATGACCACCGCGCAAGCCCTACGGTGAGCCATGTCCGTGTATTGGTCGCCCATTCAAGCACCATCCAGGCTAAATTCTGCTTAGTTTTCGCCAATCAGCTCTCTGCCCCTGTTCAAGTTATTTGTTTCTCAGGTACAACACACCGGTGTGTTGGAGAGCAAATGTAAATGTTGTGGATTTGCTCTCCAACACACCGGTGTGCTGTACTAGTGTAATGACGGTAGAGTCAACCTCCGGTGTGAGTAGACGAGTGGCCACGGGGGTTAATGACAGGCGAGTCAGCCTACAGTGCGAATGAACTAGTGGCCACGGGAGGTAATGACAGGGGAGTCAGCCTACAGTGCGAATGGACTAGTGGCCACGGGAGGTAATGACAGGGGAGTCAGCCTACGTGCGAATGGACTAGTGGCCACGGGAGGTAATGACAGGGGAGTCAGCCTGCAGTGCGAATGGACTAGTGGCCACGGGAGGTAATGACAGGGGAGTCAGCCTGCAGTGCGAAAGGTCTTGTGGCCACGGGAGGTAATGACAGGGGAGTCAGCCTGCAGCACGAATGGACTAGTGGCTACGGGAGGTAATGACAGGGGAGTCAGCCTGCAGCACGAATGGACTAGTGGCTACAGGAATGATAGAGAATAGGAGCGTGGCCAGGTGACGGAAGCGGACGGTGGAGTCTGCTGGTAGAGCGAGCGGTCGAGAACCAGCGAGAAGGTTCGGAAATGGGGGCGTGGCCTAGGACCGTATAAAAGGGAGATGCACGGGAGACTCGGGGCTGTTGCAGTGGGGGTCTTCGCCTGTTCGAGCACGAGCACGCGGCTCTTTAATAAAGAAGCCATCTCAAGACAAGTGCGTCGAAGTCGTCTTTACACTAGTAACGAATTGCCATGTTCTGTTTACGTGACAAACTTTACTAATTGGCTGTGTCGGGTGGTGGCGGTTTTAACGATACATTTGTAGTTACGCGATCTAACCCAAAAATAAGTAATATAAAAAAAACTTTTTTTAAAACACGCTTTAATGAAATGTACCCTACTAATAATAGAATAATTCCACGACTCCAGGAAGTGGCCCTGAAGCTTGCCATAACGTAAGGGAACGTGGCCAATTACAGCCAACGTCAGTTGAGCGTGGACAATTAGACCCAAGCCGAAACATAACATATAGAAAAGATTGGTTAAAAAGATGAAAAAACATTTTTATGATAGAATATAGTATTGTCATCAGTATGACATATGCATATCAAGTTTGCAGTCGATACCACATTGGGAAATGGGTTAAAATTGAGTTACAAGATTTGAGGATACAACAACGACAACAACAGACAGAGCGAGTTAATACAAAGCGTGTAAAAACCTAATTATGGGAATAACTGTCATTGAAAAGCTGAACTGTGTTTGAGAAGACTCTCGTGAGTAATGCAACAGGTCTTACTGGGAGCACTGGTGGGCGATGTGGTGTTGCCTGTGGAAGATAAGAAAAAGTGTTAGCAACCGACAAGGAGAAATGACAGAGGTAGTCATACTGTGCTCTCTGGATGAAACAAATGCGCTCCACCCATTTTGAAATTCGCAACATTTACACAGAGACCAGTGCGACACGGGTAGAAGTACAGCGGATATTATGGTGTCGGTTGCAGAACGTAATGTTGACATTGTGTTTTCGGACAAGTGGTACCAAACAAATATTTAGCATAACTATTTTCTGTGTGTCCGCATCATTAGGGGCCGTCCATAACGCGATCTAACAAAAAAAAAAACCCTGTGTTATGGATGATATTGGTCGCGTAAGCCTACGTGTTCAACTTATCCATGTTTGTTCATTACGTGACAACTTTATTCATTGGCTGTGTCGGGTGGCAGAGGGTGTACGACACACATTTTACTTCTGCGATCTTCCCAAACATCAATTATACATCGTAATATTGGTCACGAATTGAGCCATGAGCCTGTGAGCAGGTTCGACGTGAGGCAAGGGCATCCTGCTTCGACGTGATCAAATGTAAGAAGTGCAGCGTCGCAGTACATACCCGTGAACCTGGCCTCTCTGTCGTTACTGGTGTGCCCGAATGTCAGTGAAGGACGATGTTTTTTTATTTTCGTAAATAGGTAAAGGTGCAGCCCTACAATAATTGGGCACTCACCGCTGCAGGTGGAAAGGCCTTCACTAGCAGCTCTCCAAGAGCCCCTTTTAGAGGATATTTGACCAACTCCTCCATGCTGCACAAGAGGCCTGGCCATGCAATTAACTAAGTGGTATTACACATTTATACTGCTGGGTGAACAGACGCAGGAGGACTCAATAAACTTGGCCATTTCAACGGCCACAGCGGGAGACCGAATCAAAGTCCACTGTGCTGACCCTTACACCGTAGATGCATCCCCACATGTTAACCCCCCCTCATCCCCAAAACACATTCCTGCGGAGGGAACTGGTAGGAACGTTGGGTTGCTCGGTCAATGGCCAGGGTCAATGGCGGCGTGGTGTATTCCGCAAATATGGCCGACTGTGAGGGTGGGCACAAGCCGGCGTGAGTAGGTTAAACGTTGAGTTTTTATAAGGGCACCACGGGGTGACCAGCCCCTCCCCACCCAACTCCTCCCCACCCTCCCCTCCCCACCCTCCCCTCCACACCCAGCCCCACCCTCCCCACCCAGCCCGTCCCAACCCTCCCCTCCCCACCCAGCCCCTCCCTCCCCACCTAGCCCCTCCCTGCCCGACGGATGGACGGACGGACACAATAATCCCCTGTGGGCTGGTGGAACCAGGAGGTTCCTACCAGTAACAACTTTCAAAGTGACCCGTCGAATTAATTGAATCGAACGAACACTAACCTCGTGAGCAGATGACGGAGGCATCCTTATAGTGATTGCAGTCGTGACGACCCCACCCAGAGTGGCTGCACCGGGAGAGAGAAGACTCGTGGCCATAACAATTGACTTCGTCCAACCAGATCTGGCCGCTGCCGTTCCCAAAGAGAGCGCCGCCCGGAGCGGACAAGGCATAGCCGCAGCCCACTTGATTGCACACCACCTCGGCGTCCCGCAGGCCCCATCTGTCGTGGCACACGGTGCCCCACGAGCCCGCGTAGTACACCTCCACGCGGCCCTGGCACCGGCCTCCCCCGACCAGCCGGACCGGGACGTCTGTTCATCGCAGGCAAGGCGGTTGGTTAACGTAGATCAGGGGTGGGGAACCTTGTAGGACTGCCAAGGGCCATTTGGATATTTGTAGCATCATTCGCGAGCCATGCAAAATTATCAACGTACAAATTAGCCCGTTGTTATATTTGGTCAAACATTGAATTATCTCGCTCCTAATGTGATGGGCTGGAACCGCTTCTCTTTGGCGAGGCATGTGATGTTAGCCGGTATTGACGATGTTGCTACTCGCAACTGCTTTTCCAGGTTTGCTCCTAGATTTATTGACTTTCGAGTCCCGCCTGCGGTTGCCTTGGCAGGGCCAGACCCAATGATTTTGCGGGCCTCGTACGGCCGGACGTTCCCCACCCCTGAGTCGTAGAGGCTCGTGTCGCGAAGTCGCACAAGGCGGCAAGAGCGGTCTTCAGGTGGCCGGCTGCATCGGAGGTCAAAGCACTGAGCTGATGGCGCTTCGGACACGCAACTAAGATCCTGACAGCCTCGACCCTGGCAGGAACGGGCATGGCTATGTCCTATGAAAATTAATCCCACCAGAGGTGAGTAGTTGGGTTGTAACCCCAACCGTGCTTTGGCTGCCGTGTACACATGGACACATGAGAGATCACCCCTGAGATATTTGTGTTCAAATTCAGACAAGCCTGCTTGTGACGAAACTGGGTTCTCAAGTATACCGAGTTAATGGTTACAACCTGGTCACCACCAATTACTGGCAACAACACAGGGCTAAGGATATCAAAAATATTAAGCACTTAAATCGGTACATCCAGAGCCTGCGTAGAGACAACACAGCTTGGAAAGCGGCTCTGTTGGGGAGGGGCACGGGCAACCCTTAGCATGATTTGGATCGTTTTCAATAGATTCAGTCAAATAACAGCAACACACTTTCCAACCTGCACTCAAGACTATTTTGATTTGTTACGAAGATTATATTCTAAACTTGCTTTCAAATCGGATCTTTACCAGGGTTATGATGCCCCACGAAGTCACAGCCGAATAAAATAACAGTACTAATGCGTTCAAGCTTTTAACCTTTCTTGGAAAGCAATATAGAGCCAATTGACCTGGGCGTTTCTGTGATCGAGACGACTTTTTTCATGTGGTGTAAGGTCTTACCAGGAATAGAAGGCGATGCTGATGGCAGAGACGGCATGTGAAAGACAAACACGCGCCAGTAATTATCGACGTAACATTGTATCACAGTTTTCTGCAAGCCGGCATTTACACTGAGAAAGAGTAAAAAATCAACCCGTAAAAACAAAGTTTTTCACTCTAAATCCTTTATATGCGTGGCGGCTAGAGTCCTCTCGTCCTCTGGCTTGAGATGGCTGCCACCTATGGGTCAGATGATTGTCTGCCAGCATTAAGCAATTGGTAATTAAATATTTAAATTTGTTTCCATAAACAGTGTAAAATGTAGAATTTTTTTTTATGAAAATGTATTGTCAAGCACAACGAGTCTGTGTGGAAAATGTCAGCTCGATTGGATCACGGGAAGTGGGTTAAAAAACGACTGAAAGATTTGCACGGTCGTAAGCAAGCAAGCACGCAAGCAAGTGAACTTAATATAAAGGATTTAAAAAGTAACACATGGATCAAGCGACATACACCAGGGTAGAGAGAGATTGCCATATTGACTCTTAAGATGGGTTTGACTGGACAGATCGACAGACAGTGCCAATGCATCTCGTCTTACACGCTTATCTAGAATGAGTGAAAAATCAAAGAAACAATGATAACTACGGGGGTTGCTGTTATCTCGACCGCTTGGGTGTGGCACGTGTCACAACCGCCATGTGCGAGATCTTACCGGGCGAAGGAGTAGAACCTGTTAGCCACAGAGAGACGCCGTTGGAAAGAGACAGACACAAGGCAGTGGTTACTCTCGTGTAAGATTTTCACTCTTTTCTGCAACTTTTTAAAAATAATATTGAGAGGTTTAAGCTTGCGATTACACTTATTGGTTTTCCACTGGCACATTCGAGCCAAGATAGTGCAGGGCCCTCATGGGATGGTTTTCCACTGGATATTTGCCATGCCAAGAGAGAACCATGACACACTGGCTTCATCACAAATCTGAAATCTGGCTCGGGGCTAATGACGCATGCATTGTGCGTGACATCGGTCAGTACACTGCGAGGAGCAGGCATCACCATGTCGTCTACATAAGCCCCCGCTCGTTCGTTGCATGTGACATCAGGGCTCAGATTCTGCAGTGGAAATAAGTATAACCCGTAAAACTAAGTTTTTCACTCTAAATCCTTTATATGCGTGGCGGCTAGAGTCCTCTCGTCCTCTGGCTTGAAATGGCTGCCACCTATGGGTCAGATGATTGTCTGCAGTATTAAACAACTGGTAATTAAATATTTAATTAGTTTTCCCTAAACAGTGTAAAATTTTGGATTTTTTTTTCACGAACATTAATTGTCTCGCACAACGAGTCTGTGTGCAAAATGTCAGCTCGATTGGATCACGGGAAGTGGGTTAAAAAACGACCGAAAGGTTTGCACGGTCGTAAGCAAGCAAGCAAGCACGCAAGCAAGCGAACTTAATATAAAGGATTTAAAAAGCAACCTCTGGTGCCTCTTATGCCCCCCAAGGTAGGCTCGGCATGACCCCTCCCACCGTGCAAATGAGTTACGAGTGACAAGAAGGGGAACACGTGAACCAAGAAACATTCACAAGTTAGAGACATTGTATTAGCTGTGAATAAAAGTAAGATACCTAGAAGGGATGATGGCGAGTTGTCGATTCTACGTACAGAGTGGCAGCCAATGAGGACAATGCACAAGAGGCTTTCGACCGTGGAGATGGAACTAAATTGCACCGCAGGAACATGAGATGCGTGCCGGCTTGAGGTATTCCCCAGCATCTGATAAATCACGGCTGATGATGATGATGATGATTCTACCGCATTGCAAGCCTGCTCGTGTGAGCGGCGCTTGCATTCACACCTCGGCGTGTGAAGCAAGGGCAGCAGACAATGCAGGGCAGACTCTGCCCTCTCACCGTAGTATTCGCAGCTGGTGCCCGTCCAGTACGAGTGGCAGTAGCACCGGTAGTAGGGGTAGTAGGGCAGGTTTGTGCAGCTGCCACCGTTCTGACACGGGTTTAAGTAGCACACCCCTGCAGAGAAACACAATCTCGTCGTGCTCTTTGGTTCTTTCGGTAAAGTCACGTAGAAAAAACAAAACTAGTTAAATAATGGAATACGACGTTTCGATTGCAACACAAGCAACCGTCATCAGGTATGAATGAATGAGAAATGCGGGAAGCGAGTGGGAAGCACGTGGGAAGCGAGTGACAGCACATCTTACCGTAGTGGCCAGTTGTGAGCTCTATAAAAAGAAAACAAGGAGTAAAATTAAGAATAGATTCCGTAACACTTCCCAACATGCATTTGTTCTCGCTTTATTTAACCAGGTGAGTGCCGTGGGGGGTTAGTCTGCCAGTAGCGAACAATGGTTGCCATGTGCAATACAAATCGATTAATACGCTGGCCATTATCGATTTTGGCAAATGTAGACTTTAACACACAATGATCTCCTCTTGCGAATGGAAATCCATGGATTCCGTAACGTTTTCCAATCTGGAATTTGCTCATGAAGTATTCAATGAGCTTATTGATTTAACAACCGAGTAAAAAAAAGAAAATCCCCTCTATCTCCAATCCCCCACCTCTAACGTACGTCCTGTACATACTCTCTAGGTGGCAGCGGAGATTGCGTGGATGCAGCAAGGATTATTCCATTATTTATCCGACCAAATGAATCTGGCCAGCTCGAGTCGACTCATGGGGGTTTTACTGAATCCTCTCAGCGCTGGGTTTTGTCTCCCCGAGTGTTTTTGAAACGCGAGATCGATTTGGCCACGTGTCTTTTGGGTGCATCAAGAATTGCAACCCGACTTCTACACAACTTTTCTTGATATTGAATCATCTGCACGACAGTTTTTTTGTTGCGCTGCCCCCATCATGAGACAGACGGACAGAGCTCGTTAAAATGACAGGAACAAAGCAACAGGAAAGCCTGGGAGCTGTTGCTGCCGAGAACGCGTGAGATCTTACCGGGCGTAGCAGTTGATTCTGGTGGCAGAGAGGGCATGTAAAAGAGAAACACGTGGAAGAGATTACCAATGCAGAATTGTACGGTACCCTTCTGCATGCTGCAATTATACTGAGACATGACGAGGAGCACATGGATCAAGGGATATACACGAGCTTAGAGACGTAATATTGACTCTTAATTAAAGTCAACGGGTTAGGACAGCCATATGTACAGTTAGAGCTAATGTATAACCTCTTACAAGCTCATCTACAACGCGTTTGATATTCCAAAAATAGCAATGTATAGTTGGGGTTATTGTGATTGAAATGGCTTGTGTGTGGCGTATCACCATCGTGCATGAGGTGTTATCAGGTGTAGGTGTGTAGTGACACCTGGAAGAAAGGTCAGGTAAGGCCATGACAGCCTAGTTGACCCGGGAGGACACGTGACCGGTTAGAATGAGGGAGGGGCCCCCAGAGGGGGGCTGCGGGGGGTCACGTGATGGGAACCGAGGTTCTTCGTGAAGGTTCTGGAAAGGGGGGGCCT